TAAAGCCCACATAGCTTGAGAGAAAATTGCACATCTCTCTTACAGTGGTTTTCAATGTATATGAAAATGTGTTTTATTCCTGACATGTTTTTCATCTGGCAAAGGTGAGGAAAAAAATAGAAGGCAAGGAAAAGAAAGACTTAACTACTGTAAATTTAAACATACAAAGAAAAATTTGCTACCTTCTACTAACTTTAAGAAAAAATGCTTGGGCCAGGGACATAGCTCAGCAGCGCAAGCACCTGCCTGGCAAGTGCAAGGTCCTGAGTTCCATTCTCACTGCCAAAGGAAAAAAAGACAGGAAGGAGAGAGGTCTTAAAGAATACACCTTTTTTGAGGTATCCGTTCTTTAATTTGCACTACCTAAAAGAAAGGAATATTTTTCAAAAAGGACAATATATCCCTACTATAGAACATCTCAAAATAAAAGGTCAACTGTGTACCAAATATTTAATACCTGACTGCTTTTTAGCCAATGAATGCAAGTTTTTTAAACTCGACTTTAAGAAGCCTTCGCATTTGCTTGTATCTGGTAATCTGAGCAACTGATCTGAAGACAACAAAACGCAATGGAACAACCATTGGTGAATGTACCATCTTGTCTGGTGAAACTCTGCATTATCTCTAATGTTTTATCTAATAATTATTTTCTTATTCTCTTTAATGATTTGAACAATCTTCCATTCTTACATATGATAATCTGAGCAACGTAGTTGGAGATAACTATATGTAACATAACAAACACTGTTAATTCCTGTCATTTTGTCTTGAAACCTGTATCACTTTTAATGTGCTTGCTTTGCTTTGTTTATGTTTGTGATGTTGGTATGCTGCTATTGTTCTTTTTTTCTTTTCTTTTACTACTCTAAAATACAAAAAGATGCCTTCGCTCTTGTCTCAGTGCATGAAGACTGCTTTGCTCTCATTTCACTGCATGAACAACCTTATTTTGTAGTTGCTGTGCTCATTACGTCTCTCTCCGTGTCAGCTCCATGGGAATTCTTCTACTTCTCTTGTAGATTTTGATATACCATAAAAAAATTCATGAATGATCAAATAAATGAGCAAAACAACGAATGAATCAATAAGTGAACCATGGCATTTATTGCCAAAAATTCAGATGAACAGCTGTTTGGATAAATGTTATTCTTTGATTTAGATTCAGCCTAATGAAATTTACAAACAAAAAATATTAAAGAGTGACTCACAGAGTTCATACATTTTTCATAATCTATAGATAATTGTCTTCTTTTGTATATACAGGATATATTGGAAAGATTTTTCAGACCAATGGACTATCATTTGATACAATCAATTGTAAATTGAAGAATCTAAAGAAATGGACAGGGGCTGGGGATTTAGCGCAGCGACACAGCGCCTGCCTGGCAAACGTGAGGTCGTGAGTTTGATTCCCGGTACCGGACCAAAAAAAAAAAAAAAAAGACTAAAAATAAGAGAAGAAATAGATAGACTCTTAAATACATGTGAATAACCAAAACTGAATCAAGTATATATAAAAATCTCAAAAAGCCCAATAATAGGAAATTAAACTGAAGCAGTAATAAAAAAAACCCTACCAACTATGCCCAGAACCTGCTGGATTTGCTACTCAATTCTATAAGAACTTCAAAGAAGATCTAACTTCAGCTTTCCCACAAGCTCTTTAACAAAATTAAAAGGAAGGATGTACTCCCAGAGTCACTCCTGAAAACTAGCATTAACTTTATTCCTAAACCAAACAAAGACCCAACTAGAAAAGAAAACTACACATCAGTCTCTTTTATGAACATAGACCTAAAAATCCTCAACGAGATACTGGCAAACAGAATGTAACAAAAATCATTGAAAAGGTCAGACATTGTGACTGGGTAGACTTCATCCTAGGACTGCAAAAATGGCTTAACATATGCAAATCAATATGTGTAATAATACACAAGGTAAACAGAAGCAGAGACACAATTATCTCAATAGATGTGGAGAAAGTTTTGACAAACTCAACCATCCATTCAAGTTATAAACCCTGAAGAAAATAGGTATACAAGGATATCTAAGTGTGAACCTATGATGACATCATACTAAATGGGGTTTAGGGGGTGGAAAAAAAAAGAATTAGTGTGTTGTGTATATATACCTACTCCCCATGATGAATGTAATCATCACGTGTTGAACATGGGTACAAATATTCAACATGGGTACAAAAATACAATTAAGAAAAGGGAAATACGTGGAAAAGACACATTCAATCAGGCAACAAATGCCCTATATGTGGGTAAAGTAATGTAAATTTACATTTTGATAATCAGAGAGCAGATAAATATCCAGGTACTGAAAACTGCACTTTATAACTATGGAAATAACCAACAATGAATTACTTTTCCAACCTTGAAGACTGCTAAAAGTATTACCTGTTATGAAATATTCATAATGCCAAGTGAATGTGTATGGTTTATATATTCACTGAAACTTCCTGCTTTTCTCATTTTCATGAAATCTTATTTTAAGACTATGAAATAAATAACACCTTAACGTTTTAAGTGACACAAACTGCACTTATCAAACACCACAGTATTATTAGTATTACTCTCTTAAAAAGTAAGACTCTCCCTTCACTCCCAAAACAAACCTAACATGAAGATATAATTAAATCAAACTTACTGATAGATAAACTGGAAAATAGGGAGAAAAGTACATTACTCAATCTAATATTAGGGCTAAAATATTGAACTCAACTCTGTCAAATTTCTGAGCTCAAATTTTTCATAATTTTATTCCCTTTCATCATTCAAAACTATAACAATATGAATTCACAAAGGCCATATTACATGTGTGTTACACAAACATATGGGAAGTTTTCAGGTCAATATCTCTTTGTCAAGTGAAAGAATGACAAATAATGAGAACTGCCTTAAATTAACACCGTGGTAAGAATTGAAAATCAGTTTTTTGTGTTTTTTACTATTTTTATTAGTCCATGTTTTATGATACATAATGGTTACATTCATTATAGGAAATTGGCACATAACAAATTTAACTATTTTTCCCCTCTCTCTACCACCCTTTTATTTTTTCATCATCAGAGTCCTTTCTTTATAAGAACTTATAAAGTTAATTATCATTTATACAGATTGAAGATAAGACTAATAGCCCAAAGAACATATAAAACACGTAAGACAATTGTACTAAGTCAGGTTTTAGATACATTGTCCATGCTGGATAATAATACTTTTTAAAAATCAGTTCTTAACAAATTTAAAATTTAGATATTAACCTAAAAGAAGAGAGTGTTAAGATATATGAGACTGGTTGAACTGAAACTTCTCCTGTCATGTTTTCATCTGTCATGTTTCATTTTGAGAGTGAAAAGTTTTAGAACATTAACAGTAGTTCATGTAATTGATGATCAACATTAGGATGCTTTTGTGATAGCATTTATGACAAACATTAGAAAGATAAAGATTTGTTTGCTTCTGTTACATGAACAATAATTTTAGAGTAGGCATAAAATATATATAGTGTTAAGGAATTTATTAAGCACAAAATTTAATGTAATATTTAAATAATTAATAAATAGAGGGAAAATTAATACACTGAGCCAGAAGATTCATAAAGATGGTCAGATTTTTTGAGCCAAAACTATTTGCTTGTTCACATCTCTCAAAGTAGTAATGCTGAGATATTTCCTGTTACACATATTATCTTGGCTATATTTTTTACTATTCCATAAAAGCAAACCTTATAAGAAAGAGAGTTTAAATGGAATAATTGAGCTGATAGGTGCCATTTAAATGGCTTTCTATTTTGTAGATTTTGTTCAATTAATCTGCTCTTGTTGCTCCAAATACAGTACATTTTGCTCTTTCTTATCTCTACAACTTTCCCGTGCCCTTCCCCGGGTTACAATGCATTCTCGTTTAATCAGGTATCCAACTGAATTTCAAGGATCCGCTAGTTCAGACATCATTTCTTTGAAGACTTTCCCAAGAAAAATATTGAAATAAAAAATTGGGAGCCAGCTGGGCTTGGTGGCACACGCCTGTAATCCCAGCACTCGAGACTGAGGCAGGAGAATAGATGTGAGTTCAAGGCCAGCCGAAATGGCATAGCAAGACCTTGACTCAAAAAAAAAAAAAAAAGAAAAAAAAAAAAAAAGAACTTATCTCTTACAATTTAAAAATATTTGTATAAATTTCACTATATGAGATGGTATTATAGTTTTACCGTGCACCATTCAGGAGACAAAACTTATGAGGCAGAAGAATTCCAAAGTGTAGGTATTTATCCCTAGAATAGATAGATGATGAATAGCTACAGGGAGATGATAAATAGCTACAAATAGATAGATAGAAGGATAGATAGATAGATAGACAGAATGATAGATAGATAAGATACATACATACATACATAAATGTATTTAACAATGGTATGCAAAGGGGCTCCCTTAGCTGTATTTTTATGATAAAGATCTATCTATGAGGTCTCCTTTAAGAGGGGCTTGAAAAAAAATACCAGATCTGAATGGTCAGAAAACAGATGAGAGAATTTTTAAATGTAAAGATCATGTGAAAATTTCAGAAAAAAACCATAATTTTGGATAAATATTAGTAGGCAGATAGCAATTCAGCAAGAAATAAATAAAGGTCATAAAGTGTCCGTGATGAAAAACAATGGCAAATGAATCAGTATTCCTTGATGTGAGACACCCTAAGTTCTTACATATGAGCATAACTTGGTGAAAGTGATTTTGTTAGCAACACTGTCTCCTCTTTCCATTCCCATCTAAATTGTATGTTCCCTTTGATGCAAAAACAGGATCCCTTAGAGGTTATTTGCAGGAGTAACTTTGAAGATAAAAATTTCCAAGAAACCAACTCCAACCAACAAAAATCTGAATTTAATTATATGAGGAAAAATCAAAACTTGTGTACAACAAAAATAAATGGTTAGAACTGGCACATAATAAATGCACAAAACCTCACTAATGAAAAATTACTTTCTTTCAGGCAATGAAACGTAGCCAATACTTGTATGGTGGAAAATCTCAATCTACATCCAGTTTGCCAATATTAGTGAGTAGTTTTAATTATTCAGACTCCAGAGGTTTTCATTGTATGAGGAAAATATTACTTAAAGATATAAGATATCAACTTTCAGTGCATAGGAGCTATTTTCATAGGTTTTTCACCATGGAGGAAAATCCTTTCAAACAAATTACTTCCCAGGTTACAATATTTTCCTCTTCATAAGAGAGCAACTCAATAATCTTGATAGCTTTGAGAAATGAAATACAGGAAATTCTTTCATCTTTAAATTGGCATGTTTCCTTTTCTACACATAGTATTGCACAGAGCATTGGCTGGGCACCTCTGCCCCCCACAAACCACAAACAGGGCCATATTTATCTTATTTGAGAGCCAAATTCAAGTAAAAGATTCTCAAACCAGGGTCAAATGTATTAAAAGGTGGACAAAATTGATTGTGGTGAAGTAGAAATTCCTTCCATAAAACATCATAAAAAAGAAATGTTCATTTATATTGTGTGTTAGTTTAAAGATAATTTCCTAAGATAAATCAGTTCCTCACTAAATACCAATGTCATACAGTAACTAAATTTACCAAACCCAGATAAACTTTTGATTCTTCATTTTGTGCATCACAGTTTTTCACTAAGTCAACATTGACTTATTATATAAACTTAGAAATTAAATATGATGGCCAGGCATGGTGGTGCACACCTGTAATCCCAGCACTTGGGAGGCTGAGGCAGGAGGATCACTGTGAGTTCGAGATCAGCCTGGGCTACAAAGTGAGCTCAAGGCCAGCCTGAACTGCATAGCGAGACCCTGTCTCAAGAAAGACCAAAAAAAAAAAGAAATTAAATATGATGTGTTCTAAATATCTTTATGATCTAAGATTGATTTTTGTCATCAACTAATATTGAGATGGAATTATTCCTAGGGTAAATATTTTTGTTGTATTAATTAGTAAAATATTAAACTCTAGGTTCGTATGAGCTTACATCCCTAGAAGATATAGTAATTCTAGTATTAGAAGGCCATCATTATATTACATCTTAAGAAACTGCCCCTAACTTCCCATGATAAATTGTTACATAATGATTTAAGCAGTATATGCTCAATAAATATTTATTCATAGATGTAACACGTCATAATGTGCTAAGAGTAAACAAAGTAAGGAATCAGAGTCAATTGGAATTACTACTTTTCAGGAATATTTATATATTTTAGTAATATAAACAGAATTAAAGATTTATTTCCCTTGTTAAATGGGTAATTACAAATTCAGGACAGGTTAGAAATAAAAGTATTACAAATAAATGCAAAAATGTGCACATCATAGTGTTCCAATCAACAGCAGACCATGTATGTGAAGTAAATAACAAATAATGTAGGAGTGAGTAAGGCATAGTGCCTAGGCTTATGTAAGCATAATCTATGATGTTTGCACAAGGACAGAATCATTTATTAATGAATTTTTCAGAATATATCCCCAGAAAAACAGGGATGACTTGCATGGCTCAATTCACTTGCATTTTTCTAATATGTTCTTGTTATGGTTGATACATTGTGTCAACTTAGGGAGTCTAGAGGCTTGGCTAAGTGACTCAGCAGGAAGCCAGGGTGCTTACTTTGTATACATCCTGAGCCTGTGGAAGAGGAGGGCATGGAGATTATGTGAGAGCTACACGCCCCTCAGGTGGGGGTAGCCTGTTTACAATGTAAGGCAGGGAAAGAAGCTGCTTGCCGCCATTCCTCTGTTTTTCTCTGGCTGCTTTGCTGTTGGGCTGCCATTCCCTGCTTTGCTCTTGTTGCTTTGCTACCTTCTGCCTCGGAGCCAGCCAAGTATGGACTGAAACTTCCACAAACTGTAAGCTAAATAAACCTTTCCTTCTTTCATTTTGGGTGTTGGGTATTTTGTCTCAGCAATGAGAGAAAAGTAACCAAGACAGTTTTGAATTTATAATCTCTTCATTTAACACAGACATGTTCATACTCCTGCTCATATTCACTGTTTATACTCCTAAAATAAATATAAATATTCCTGAAAATCAGTTTCAATCTATACAACTGATGCCTGGCTATAAATAAATTTGACCATTTTGAGTTATTTTGGTGGGCCTCGTGGCAATTTAGAATTAACAAAAATGATTATAGAATGTTTTCTGAAATAGACATCTCCACTCAAAAATAGTAATCAGAACTGGTAATCAGAAGTTCTCTTCACTTTATTTTGTCAAGTGAAGGCATACTTATTCTTACTTCTATTTCAAGTTAGTTAGATATTGTATGTAAAGGCTAACAAATCCCCCTACTGTTCCTTGGTTGAATCATAAGCCCTAATTAAATGAATAACATCAGATGTGGGTGTTAAACCATGTTGGCTACATGGAGTTGCCCATTTAAGAAGCAATTCATTTGCAAATCAATGCCTACAATTCAGAGCATCTGTCCTAGAGATTTCCCACACAAGACTCTGCTTATTTTCTGTGCCCGTAATGTCTCAAAGTAGGCTTCTCCTCTGGTCTGCCCCTTGGGATCCTTGTTACATCTCATGTTCAGCTGTTCTTATAACTTAGAAATACCATATAGACTTCATAGTAGTATACACATGAGCCTTCCACTGTGTATGCCTGAAGGAATGCAGGGAAAATTCTAGTGGAAACCACTGCTTTTGCACTTTCAGTCAAAATATTTGAAATAACAACATGTTTAAAGCAATGAAAGAGTTGATACTGTATGAAAACAAAGCAATATTGGCAAAGGAAACAAACAAAATTAGTAGTGTTGGAGAATTATCTGATCCATTTAAACTGAAGGACGACAAGGATTTAAGGAGATGAAATTCATAAAATTTGGATTTTTTTGTCTTTTTGAATCAGGGTCTCACTATGCAGTTCAGGCTGGCCTTGAGCTCACATTGCAGCCCTGCTGGTCTCAAACTCACAACAATCCTTCTGCCTCAGCCTCCTGAGTGCTGGGGTTACAGGCATGTACCACCACACCAGACAAAACTGGGTTTTATAAAATTTTTCAACAGACACAAAGAAGTTTAGTTGAATAAGGACAGGAGAGAGGGAATTAAATTTGGCAAGCAAAGCCACATTACGGGTATGAGAGGAAGATACTGGTAAAGTTTTTCTAATGGTAAAAATCAATAGATATTTCCTTTTTGATCTAAAAATGAGCAAAACTGTTTGGTGGCAGAATCAGCAGACCATCCCCCGTATGATTCATGAAGCCTAAAATGCCCAGCTGCTAAAGTGGCATCTCCAGTATTCATCTCATAGTCTTTTTGACAGATCCACTGCTCTATAAACATCTTGAATTTCTCTCTCACTTGCCTCATCTTCAAGGTATCCTCTGCCACCCCCTCCATCATCAGTATTTCTCTCCTGCTCTTTGTTCCTCGTTTCATGGCACCTCTTTCTCTCTCTCCTTTTTTTTTTTATTTTTATTTTTATTATTATTATTTTTTTTTTGTCTTTTTGAGACAGGGTCTCAATATGCAGTTCAGGCTGGCCTTGAACTCACTTTGTAGCCCAGGCTGGTCTTGAACTTGCAATGATCCTCCTGCCTCAGCCTCCCCAGTGCTGGGATTACAGGCGTGTGCCACCATGCCTGGCTAAGGCACCTCTTTCTTTGGAGGAATGTTCTTAATACTTTTAAGAATCTTAGAGAAGGTCCTGAACTCAGATGGTCAAGCCCCTTAGAAATTCACAATCTGTGAAACAATATCTCATCCTCTGTCGCAGTTACTTGTGTTATAGATTCCGCTCCTCGGCCTAAGGAAAGCCCATTTTCCACTCCTCTCCCACTGACAATTACTGAACACACCATGCTTACAAGGGTTTCCCAGTGACATCATTCTTTTGTGTTTTGGACAAGAGAATTTCTTCTCTCTTTCGTATGACTTGACAAGTTCCTACTGACCAAAAAGCCACTCACCTGTCACCCCTTTTCTAAACCTCACCACTTGCCCGACTTCTCACTTTTTCTTCCATCTTAACACAAGGCATTGCATAATGAGAATGTGTTCTTCGCTTATCAACCCCAGAGTGCTTAAAAAAGCAAGAATTATTTCTAACTCAGGTGCACTCACAATGTCTACAATGAATATTTGTAAAGATTCTAAAAATAAAAGAGTGAAATTTGTGTTGTCTTAGGATCAGTCACTTAGAAGCTCAGAATTCGATTTCTGTGCAAGGGGTTCATTGAGGGTGCACCATCAGGAGACAACTAAAAAGCAGGGAAAATGTGGACATGGTAGATGAACAAGAAGCACAAATGTGGTTTTAGTTGAGACCTACCCAAGCCAAACTGTACTGGGAGCTCCGAGCACGAATGGAATGTCAGAGTTGTATTGCTTAGGGTTAAGAGTATCAGGATTTGTGTCTCTGTGCTAGTCATCTACTGAACTTTGCCAAGGGTTAGAGGAGTGATGATAGGAGGGACGATATATTTGTCATTTTCCTGGACAGCAGCTAAGGTCAACCTAGCCCAGGTTTTACCCAGCAAAAGCAATCATCTGTAAAAGGAAGTAATTTAGCTCTCAGTAGTGACCTCTTACTGCATCTGAACCACAGGTACCTGAAACTGGAAGATTTGGGATAGAACACCACTACTTTCTATTATAAATTCAACACAAGCTCTTTTCAAAAATAGGTTACTTAGGGTTGATTTTCTGTTTGCTATATGATTTTTCTATTACTCCAGTGAATTCTTAGCTCCACACCCAAAGATGTTCATTTCTTTTTTGTTTGTCTGTTTGAGACACAGTCTTGCTAAGTAGTGGGGGCTGCCTTGAACTCACTATGTAGCCCAGGCTGGCCTCAAATTCTCTGATCCTCCTGTCTCAGCATCCCGAGTGCTGAAATCGCAAGCATGTGCCACCACACCTGACAAGATGTTCATTTCTTAATCTGGCACATTGCAAGCCTTCTGTTTCCTACCTGAAATATGTGTAACTATTAACCATGTAAAGCAACACCACCAACTTTAATGAACCCTAGTGCAGTTTCAAAGGAGTGAAGTCATTCTTCTAAAGGAAA